ATAACTGCTAAAGGACTTTGCAATTCTATGATATATGTCTGTAAATTCATAAACATTATAATTTTATAATTACAAAGAAAACACAATAGAAAATGTGTAGTAGGCAAAAGTATGTTATAGTAAATTATCAATACTGACTCCTGTGTAAGAAATGTTGTACAATATGACCCAAAAACTGGCTGACTAGCCATTCAGTGAGGTAAGAGATGAGATGAACAATGTTAATGTGGCCCTTACACTCTTGGATAATAAAGGAAATAGAAGTTCTGTGCTTAGGCGTTGGCATGAGGGGATTGATGATTATGATGATGATGATCATGATAGGAATAATAGTTAGCTTTGATATAAGTTTATAAACATTTTATAGATATTATTTCATTTTGTCCTTATACCAAGATTGTGAAGTAGATGCTGTTATTATCCCCATTTTACATATGAGAAAACTAAGCCAGGCAGAAGTTAAGTGACTTATACAGGTCACACAACTAGACCAGAGACCAACAATCCATCTGTTCCATCATGCAGCTGATGATAAGATAGGAACGAAAAATTACATAAAATGAGAAAGCTTGGAGGCTTTGCAATCTTCCACAGTAGAGAAAATTCCCACATTGCCAGGATAATAAATCCATCAAAATATCAAAACATATATTTATCACTTTGCTAGTCTCCACGTGTCTTAGAGTGAAGCTTCCCTAAGCTTACTGTGTACTGCAGATAAATCAATCCTCTCCTGGATGTGTTTATATGTATGTTGTGTTTTTAGGGACAATGTCAACATAATGAAATTATTGAAGCATGTATCTTAAGGCATGAAAATACTCAAATATTGATAGTTTTAGGTCATTAGAGATTTAGTTAAATCTGATGGATTAGTAGTGAAACATTCATAGGTTAAGCTTGACTCTGTCACTTGCTGTTTATATCATCAGTTAATCAATTAACAAAACTGGATTCTTATCACTGAAATACCATTTGGATATAACTTCACTATTTCTTAATCAGGTACTTTGCTTCTTAGTGACTCAAAACACATAATTTCAGAAATATTTAAAATATTAAATGACCCAAGAGCTAGCTTGGAAAAGACATAAAAGTAATGGAAGTCTATTGTGGTTCATTTTATTAAAAGCAGATGAATAAAATGAGAAAGACTTTAATCAGTTTGACTATTGAGGTTACCACCACACATCTGTACTTTATGTAAATCCTGCAGGAAATAGCTATAGCCAGTGTTAAGCCTGAATTATATGGAAGTATATCTGGTCACATTTCATTAAAGGCAAAGAATTGTCAAAAGAAATGTACAGTGTTCTGGAGTACTCTGCTTAATACCAATGTCTAATAAGTGGTAAAATTAGAACATAAATTATGTATATTATATAAAGTTACAAAACAGAACAGAGAATTGATAAGCATGAAATGAGACTGAGAGAACAGTGTATTTTTATGAACTTAATCCTACCTATTAAAACCACATATTCAGTTTGAAAATAGACATTTCCTACAATAGGGTGCTTTTAGGTTCTGGGACTGACAAAAAGGAACATATAGGCAGGTGTCCTAAATTTCACATGGTCTCCAAGGCTGCTCTTCACCTGAATGTATTTCACCTTTACATATGTCAAGTGTCTTCTGAATTTAATTTTGTTGTTGTTGTTATCTTGAGAAGAAAAGCAACATGAAATACTATATAGAGTGGTGGATTTAGATTTTGGAGGGCCTAGGTTCAACTTCTGTCTTTGACACTAGCTGTGTGTCATGACCCTGGACAAGTCACTTCATGTCTCTGACTTTCAGGTTTCTCCTTGTAATATAAGTTTGATAATGCAGGTAGGACCTGATTCAGAGGATAGTTGTGACACTATAACGCAGTGAGATCAGGAAAGTATTTCCCAAACTTTAAAGCCTATATGAATCATGATAACTATTGTTTGCTTTATTTGTTTCCATTTAAAAGATCATGCCCTTGCTGGGAAAAAAGCTAGAAAACAATTTAAATAGTGATTTATTCTATTTTCTTTACTTTATCTGTTAACACTGCTGAGTTTTCTCCCAATCAGTCTTTGAGTATGTATATATTTGATTTTTCCAATAGTGCACTCTATCACATGCCTCTAGAGGGTTCTTCCAAGACAAGGGTAGTGTATTTGCTTGGTAAAAGTTCAGGTTGATAGAACACACTGGACAGTAGGAATCTGGAAGCAAGGATTCCCAACTCAGAAAGGTTGAATGCATGTCACCTCCTGTACCCAACTCAGTCCCACTGGGCAAGCACTGGAGAACAGAATAGGCAGTAGAATAGCCATGTTCTGGTTGAAGGCCCTAATGGTGACTAGACTTTTGTGGACCAGGGCAGGGGACAAGACTGGTCTATACTCATATGGACCAATCAGAAAGGGAAGAGTATACTCAGACCATAGATAGGGAATATCAAAATAAAGAACAAAGGTGAGATTAATTACCTTTTGGGAAATTCCAAAATTCTTTTAATGACCCCACAGCTCTTCCATTTTGGAGATTTGTCTTTTAAAACTAGCATTGCTGTAGTGCTCTGAGACATGGAACACAACAGTTTCTAAAACAAAATAAGATGAATCTTACACAGAGATAAATGTAGTTGTAAATAATTAGTGTGAAGAGGAAGTAACATATAATCCAGTAGTTCTCAAATGGTGTGGTACAAGTTTTGTTAAGTGTACTTTAAATGTAAAGAACTTACACCTGCAATCTTAGGTGTGCCACAGTCTCACAACGTCCAATAGAATGCCACCATTCTTCATAACAAAACATAAGATAATTCTGTGAGCCAAAAACATTAAAGAATTATTGATATAAACAATGAGAAACTTCAAAGAAGAGCAAGAATAAATTATGTCATCAGAGAAAATGTATAATAGGAACAGAAGATAGTCTGGCTACATAGCAAGGCATTGCAGATGGTCTGAATACTCAACTATTATCCTCAAAATATCAGAGAAAAAATGAAGAAGGTCTCTAATACTTTGTGTAGACCCTCTAATAGGAAGGTATGGAAGGACGTGGACAATAAGATTTGCACAGTATGGATAATCACTCTTGGACTGCAGTCTGAATCATTGAGGGAATATACAGGTTGATGAGATCATAGATCCATTTGTGTGTTTTTAAGTTATTTGAAAAAAAATTTTAAAAAGTTATTGGGTTTTGTTGTTGCTTTTTGTTTGATTGGAGTTTTTACACATAGAGTCAGAGTCTGTACCTTCCAAAAGTGTCAATTAGTTATTGTGATGAACAAATCTATGCTAATCATAAAGAGGTAACCTGAGATTGAGGACAGAGAATCAGCATCGGGGAAAGGACAATTGGGATTCAAGTACTTCTCAGAAGCATAGCAGCTAGGTGACTAAGGGGTAGCCTTTGTAAAAAATAATTATTAATGTATTTTGTTTTTATGTGACCTTCATTTCTGAATATATCCCTCATCTTTCCTCTACTCAGCATAAGTTCTAAAAAAAAATGAAAATTTTAAAAGAAAAAAATGGTGTAGCCAACCAAAACATTTACCAAGTCCAAGAGTAAGATCAAAATTTTTCATACTTATTCCCCTGACTGCAAAGCATAGACCTCTTCTTCAGGGCCAAACTCCATCCCTATAATTATACAGAATTCAGTGTATTTTCTTCTTTTAATTAGATATATTGCTTTCCTGGACCTGTTTTCTTCACTCTGAGATTATCTATCTATCTATCTATCTATCTATCTATCTATCTATCTATCTATCTATCTATCTATCTATCTGTCTGTCTGTCTGTCTGTCTGTCTGTCTGTCTGTCTGTCTATCTATCTATCTATCTATCTATCTATCTATCTATCTATCTATATACAAACACACATGTAAATGGTAACCAGCAAAGTCTTGGCATCCATACATGCTAGACACAGACAATTATCTCAACTATTTCTTAATAAGGAGTGGAAAAAATCTAATAAATGTAGAAGTAAAAATAAAGTACATGGAAAAATGCAACTTTTAATACCTTAGTGATACAATGTAGTATTCAGCAGGGAACACTAATATTAATAAATGTTCAATTGAAACAGATATTTTGTGTGGATATAATGTCATTCATCTAAATAAGTAACGACATTTTATTTATAGCATTTGTTATATACAATTTCTTTACTCAGCCACTTCATTTCTGATTGTCATTTTATAGATGTTATTCAATGGAAAATATTCTAAGCCTCATTTCATAGGTAATGAAATAGAGATGTGAGAGGAAATACATGTTCAAGGTCACAGTCTTTGCCTCCTGTGAAAACAGGAAAACATATATCTAATTACTCCCCAAACACTATATTACAGTAATAGGCATTCATATTTCATGTTAATCATTTTAATTTAATCACCTCTAATTAAAATTTTTAGATAGAGAATATAGTTACCAATCTTTGATAATACTATTCTGAAGCTTATGAAGATAGAAGAAGGTAGATTGTAGTAAAACCACTCTACCCCCAGAGAGAGTAAGGAAGACAGTAGTAACACTCCTGAAGCAGCTCTGTACTCGTCAGCTCTCCAGGATCCTAGGAAGAAAAGTAAACCAACTTTGGCCTCCAGCAATCTGTCAGGGATTCTGGGAGAATTCTGGTGAATCTAAGAGAGCTGGCAAGCCTAATGCATACTAAATGTTACTTGAAATTATTGCCTGAAAATTATTGCTGGGATTTCTGAATTATTAATGAATTAATGAAAATAAAATAAAATTCCTGGAAGCTCTAAGGGTTTCTGGGAAACATGTGTGAATTTAAGAGGAAAGGAATATTCCATCTTCTGGGAAAGTCCAATTTCTGCTACAGCAAAGTCTTTAATTAAGCCACACTTGGACCAATTAGTGGGCTTTGAACACTAATCCTACTACATATACACAAAATTCTATATTTGTTTTTTTTAAACTTGTGCTCATTGGTAGTGAATTAGCCTCTCTTCAAATATTTTTGTTGACTTCCTGTTCTAGCTCTTGCTGTCATGTATATTTTCTCCTGGCCAACTGACACACAATGATGGTGAGAAGAATCCTGTGGCTAGCATTTTTGTGGCACCAAGGGACAGAAGTAAACTTGATTAATATAAGACATATTTAAAATGTCTGCACTCCTAGTTTTATAATAAAATAAAATTCTGAATTAACAACCTGTTAATTGTTGCTATGCACCAGAAACTTCTGCACTTTAAAGTGGTTATCTCTTAAGTTGATTTCTATCTTTGATACATGGCATTTCCTATCTTGGGAGAAGATTTAATTAGTTAATTCCACAGTTTTCTAGTTATATTTCCATTGTTAATGTCATCCAGAGGTTATAAGGATAGTTTGCCTTTGTTTTAATGGTAAGCTCCCTTTTTTAAGTACTAGAGATGCCAGCACATTTCATAAAAAGTTGTTAGGTCCCTATATATTCAAAAGACTTAAAACACATGTTCAATGCTAGAGTTTACAAAGTATTTTCACATATATTTGATTTGCTTCCCAAAACATTCTTGAGAAATGGATAATTCATTTATATTTTCCTTTTGCAGATCAGGAAATAGAGAGTTTAAGTGAGTCTTCCAAGGTCACCCAAATAGTAAATGGCATAGTCAGAATTTAATTTCAAGTATGCTCACACAAAGTTCAGTACTCTTTTCACATAGCATTGTCTACCCATAGTACTATTTCTCCTTTCTGAGCTTAGTAAGAGAAAGGTTTTAAATGGGATTTCTCTCATTACATCTAATGGTATGTGAATTACTAGTAGGTAAAATTTACACCATTGACCTTCGTGCCTTCCATAGTCAGACACATATATTCTTAAATATAAAAATATCAACTACTTTTTGTGACTTATGAATGAAAACATTATCATCCCTGGACCTACATATCCCATGTTATGTCATAGAGATTCCATCCCATTATGTCTATAAATGTGATAGATGTCCATTCTATTTACTTGCAAATGAATTTATCTACCAAGCATTTATTAAGTTCTTACTATGTTAAAGGCACTGTGATATGATAGAGAACTTGAAAGACAAATCTGAAAAAGGAAAATAAATCTGCCCTTGAAGAACCTACTTTTTCATCTGATAAGAACAAAACAAAAGAAAAACAACAAATAAAAATTTATATAAATTTACATAAATATAAAATAAAGCAAGGTACTTTTGGAGAGAGGAGTTACTGTAAGCTGAGTAAGTCAAAAAGGCTTCATGTAAAAGGGCATGGTGGGGGCATTTAAGGTGATGCAGTGGATAGAGTACTGGCCTTGGAGTCAGGAGGGCCTGACTGCAAATCTGGCCTGAGATACTTGTTAGCTGTGTAATCATGGCCCAGTCACTTAACCCCATTTGCTTAAAAAAAAGAAAAAACACTCACCCCTTACACCTCAAAAAGGCTGTCTTTAAATCTGAAGGAAACCAAGAATTCTAAGAGTCAGAAGTAAGCAAAGAATACTTTCCCATATAAGAGACAGATTGTTTAGAAAGGTACAGAGGTGGGAAATGGGATCTTATGTTAAAAATGTGAAACAGACCATAATAAATGAATCTCAACATGTACAGAATAATTGATCTGGAAATGTAGTCTGGAGATGGATTATAAAGAGATTGAAATGCCAAACAAAGAGTTTGCATTTACTCCTATAAACAAAAGGGAACTGTTGGAGCAAAGGAGTGATTTCTTTAAATCTGTTCTTCAAGAATATCAATTTGGCAGTTATATGGACACTATATCTGATAGATAAAGGCATGGAAATAATTAAGGTAAAATTGCATCAGTCCAGGAGAGAAACAATGAGTTGCTCATTTAGGTTAGTGGTCCTTTGAGTAGAAAGAAGGGGATGGGTGTGAAATATATTTTGGAAAGGGGAACTACTACCAGCTGAGTAAATTAACAAATCTAGTAACTGATTAGGCAAATTATGGAGAAAGAGAAGAAGAGGAAGAAACCAAGAATCCAAATCTGTGTGATTTAAAGAATGATGCTACCTTTAATAGGAATTTAAGAGGAAGAGTATGTTTGAAGGGAAAAGATTATGAGTTCTGTTTTGGATACATTAAGTTTGAATTGTCTACAAGCTATCCTGTAAGAAATGTCAAGCAGGCAGTTGGAGATGTACAATTGGAATTTAAGAGAAAAGCTACAGCCAGATGTATAGAACTGGCAGCCACCTCTATAAAGCTGATAATTAAACCCTTGGGAGTTGATGAGGTTGCCAAGAAAGAGTGTAGAAAGAGAAGAGAAGAGAGCAAAGCCTTAGGTTATTCTCAGAATTAGGGGACATGATATAGATAACAATGCACTAAAAGGACTGGGAGAACCAGGAGAGAGAACTCTGATGAAAAACTAGAGATGAGAAGGTATTTATAAGGATAAGTTGGTCAAAAGGGTAAAATGCTGCAGAGAGGTAAAAAGAGAATGAAGACTCAGAGAAGTCAATTAGATTTGATGATCAATGGTGAATTAGAGAGAGAAGCTTCACTTGAATTATAAAATTAGAAAACAGATTTCAAGAAGTTGATTAGTGACTAAAAGGAAAGAAAGCAGAGATAACAATAGTTGTCTGTTTGCTGTTGTGGAGATTGTCAATAAAAGAAAAGAGAATTCTAAGGTAATAGCTTAAAGAAATGGGAGAGTGAAGTGAGGCTTTTTTTTTTTAATTTTGGAAGGGAAAGATGAAAAAAATGGCTCAGATTATAGTATTCTAAGAATAATGAGGTCCATGGGCTTTAAGAGCCTCTTAGGATTTGTAAAACACAAAAATATTAAGAATCCTGATCATAGGATCATAGGAAAGGATTTTAAGAGAGCAGATTTCAAAGTTGCCAAGAAAGGATAAATAAGGTCCCATGAACCAAATTCCCATAGGGCAAATCAGTACAAGAGTGATAGTAAACTCAATACAGTTTGGAAGCCAAAAAATAAACAACTGTGACAATGAGGAAAATGAGAGTTTTCTGACAAGGTTAAGGTGGTGTAATGAAGAATTCACACAACAGTTTGGATTTTTCTAAGATACATATTGTGCAGAAATGGAAGAAAAATAAGATAACAAAGGATGAATATAAAAGGCTAAGCTACAACTGAGAAGGAAAGCTAAGGACAAGAAAAAGGTATTTATGTGGGTTTGAGGAGGAAAATAACCTTTGGATTTGAAATGATTGATATATTATCAAGACAAGTTATTGAAACCATGAGAGAGCACTGATCTCTATTTGCAGGATTCAGATCAACTGACTCAAATGAACTATATACTTAGATGTTCAAATAATTGGTGAAGGTGACTTGAGTAATATGTAAAAGATTGTGGAGAAAGAGAGGTACTACAGGAGTGGAGAAAATTAAATGACCTGTGGTTCAAAAAATAGAAGAAAAAAGGTAAAAATAAAATGTAGAGCAAATTAACAACTTAATAATCTTTAGGGATCCTCTGTGGAAAAATACCTTTGCTAAGAATATCTCTGTTTTTTATGTCTAGACCTTAACTTATAAAGATAGTAGGAGGTGGCCTGAAACATATATGAGAAACCTTGAGTTTCTGCCTTAAACAAACCAACCCAACATAATTTTTTAAATCACAAACACATTTTTCTTTTTAAAACAACATAAAATACAATTTATAAACATAGTTCCAGGCAGAAGGATGTGGGGAACGTATAGACAGGAATATACCATCTCTCCAGGGCCTCAAAGGGAGAGAGGCCGGTCAGTGAGGGGCTGTTCTGACTTGATCCTGGACTGGGCTTATGCCACCCCCATCTGAGTCATCTGAAGGACTACCTCAGGGAAGGCCTGGCTGTTTGTTAAGCCCCTGGAGCTTTAGGACCAGCTCCTTGGCAAAATCCTTTGTGTAGTTCCTGCAGGACTTCAAGATTCCCCAAATTTTTCTGCCTCTCTCCTCTTCACTCTCTAGTTCCAATAATTCATCAATGTTGACTTCCTCAAGCATGTCTTCCTCCCGGCCCTGGTACAGCTTCTCCAGACACCCGTCGATCCATTTCTCCACGTCCAGCCGACCCTGCAGCTCCCATGTTGCTTCTGCAGGCCTCCAGGGCTACCATCAGAACTGCCCTTGGTCCGGGAGGGTGACAGCAGCTTGGTCAGGACCCGCTTGCCGAGCCTCTGAGCAGCCATCGCCTGCGACACCCCCCACCCCACTCTGTAGTTTGGCCCTCCACCCGGATAATTGGGGATGCGGGAGCTGTTCTTTCTCTGGGTGCTCTAAACATAGCTGGAGCCAGATGCTCCCAGATGGGCAAAGCCCTACGGCGACGGGATTGACCTATCTGCAGTGGGGCTTCCCTGACCTCAGGATCCCAACCTAATTTATTATGAATACTTTCCAGGAAATTCAGGTGTACAGATAAAACATTTTCCAGGAATTATATGAAGTATTGAATCATAAAACATCACAATCTTTGAAAAATCAAAGTACTGCTTATCCAATAGGCAATGGAAATACGTATGGTAGGTGAAATAGGCTCCAGAACGTTATCAAGAATGAATTGAATATTAGAAGTGGTTTTAAAGACCTGTATTACTGAAAAAGGATGAGTGCAAGGAGCAGAAGTGAGTAATAACAGATGAAACGTTCTTATAACATTTTAAATTCAACCAATTTAAAAATATTAGATAAATGTACACACACACACATATCAGATAAAGAAACAGCATATAGCTAGGAAGGATAAATAAAATATTGAATGGCAGAATTGATATTCAAACATCAACAAAAGCTAAAATAATGGGTAGAATTTAAGAAGAAGTTAATTAAGATAAATTGAATTACTACATTTGAGTTTCAAGAAGTCAACTTCACATATGCAAGATGGAGAAGTTGTGTCAAAGAGGTATTTCAGTGGTCGGTAAGTTCAATATGAGTCATTAGTACAACATGGTATTAAAAAAAATAGAAACAAACAAAAAAACCAACCCTAATATTAACTTGGACTGAATTAAAGGAGGTATTAATGTATGTACCCTCCACACCCTACCTTTGTCAGGTTACTTCTAGGGTATTGTATTTTGGAGGCACTATATTTTAGGAAGGATATTATAGAGTTAAATATAAAACTAAGATTATGAATCCAGGATAACCAACTTCCTTGACTGTTTGCTCT